TTCAAGTACATTCTCATGTTCATCCGGTTCTTAGATGTCCTCTTCTATCTCTTCCCAGTCCTCTTCAGTTGAAGACTTGAAAACGGCCAATAATTTTAGGGCCTCATTTACTTGGTCCAGATCGCCGTCGGCGGAAGCCAACATGACCCACTCTTGGAGATCCTTCAGCGTTTGTTCGCGTTCTGTGAGTCTGGGCATGCTGGTAAGGTGGGGAAGGTGGGAATGGTGGGTGTTGTGACTTGTAGAGGGATGTCAGTGTTTGAGAGATGTGGAGTGAATCAAGATGTCCAACGCGAGTTCTGGATGTGGCATGCCTTGGGTTTGATGTACAAAATCGACCGGAAAAATTTCATTGGTAAATACACTTGCTCAAAATATACTAAACACTGTACAAATTCATTCAAGAAGAGAGAGTAAAAAGAAAAAACAAGAAAATGGATTGGTCCGGGAGAGAATGCAATAATAAGAGAAGAGAAGAAGGAGGGGGCAAAAAAAAAGTATGTGCAAGGGAATTAAAAAAAGGGTTCAAATATGTCCTTGAAATCATGCTCCGCATCCATGTGTCGTTTTTTCAAAAGGTGTCGGGTGGAGTACTACTATGACCGTCAACAGCAGCAGCAGGAGGGGGGACAGCCCCGGGCGGAACCCGTAATCCAAACTCTTCGACGATTTCACGGACCTGCCGTTCATCCAGTTCGGCGAAAATACTGCGAAGAAGCTCGATATTTTTCCGGTTTTGTTGAGGTTCGGTTGCTGTTGTCTTGGATGGGTGGTCACTGTCGGCGTTGGGTGTGTACGAGGAAGAGGAGGAAGGCGCAAGGATCTGGATGGGCATGGTCGGCATGGCCGGCACAAGAATACTGGCCCCATCATCACTGGTAATGCTATCACTATCATTATCGTTTTCGGATGCCATGGCACGATGGGACCAGTGATCTTCCTGAAGAATGGGTAGCGTCAGAGCCGATTGTTGTTGGGGATAGTGGTGGTTGGGAAGCGGCGGGGGCGGGGATGCCGAGGACGCCAAGAGCATTTGCGAGTTCCGGTCAATACATCCGAGGGATTTGGAACGGGTGATGGAGTGTGGTGGAGCCGAGTAGGATGGTAAACTCTCGGAATCGAGATCGTCGTCAAAATTGTATGTTTCCAGCTGCTCGAGCAACTGTTGTAAATTTTGTTGTGATCTTTGGAGGCGGTTGGGAGTGGTGGAGCCCGAGGACGCGGATGGGGCTGGGGTGGGGAGGGGTGTAGTGGGTCTTGATCCGGATGTAGAGTCGTTATTGGCCGTTTGTTGCTGGCGGTACGTGGAGGGAGGGGGGACGGGGGCCGGTGCTGGGACGGGTGCTGGTGCGGGTGAGCGTCTGCCGGGAGGTTGCGGAAGTTGGGGCTGGGGTTGGGAAGAGTACTGCTGCTGCTGCTGAGAGAATGAATCCGGAAATGGTGGCCACGCTGATTGCTGAGTTTGATGAAAGTGGTAATCTGGCTGTTCGGGTGTTGGGTGTGCGGGTAAATTAGGTTGTTGCACTGCGTGTTGTTGGTGTTGAGGGATCTGATGAAGATGGTGATTGCCTTGCTGATGCTGCCGCATGACCATACGATGAACGTCATCCGACGATCGAAATCGCTTGGTAAGGGCATTGCGCGAAAGCCGCGATGGCGGGGGTTGCAGTATAGGTGTCTGACGTTTTTCCAGTCCCGATTCGACAAGAGTTTCCAAGATGCCGCCCCGAAAGTCAGCTCCAGCCTCGTTCACAAGTGTTGGCGAGGATGGACCCAAACGCATCGCGAGGCTCTCATACGACATGGCGGGATTATAGCTTGACCCATTGCTGTCCTTGCGTGATAGAGAGTCGGCAAGATATATGCCAGAATCCTGCTGGCTTTTCAGAGATGTGTTGATAGTGCTACCCAGTGAAGGTTGTCTAGTGTATAGCGAATCTGCGCGAAGCGGCAACATGTTGCTAGCGATATTCTGTGATGATGATGATGGAGAGGAGGGACGTGAACCAGCACTGTCCCGGAACGACTGAGCGTTTGTTGTCATGGACCCTTCCGTCGAGTCGGCGGCCAGTATGCTAGAAGATGCCAAACCGTCCGCCTTGACGGGGATGGTTCCGGTGACACTGCTTGTCACCAGAGACCGAACAAGCTGCCGCGATTCATCAGAATGTGACGTTGTATAACTGCTGCTCGTTTGAAACGCCTTCCATGCGCGAAACACCATATCACGGCGGAATCGAATATTGTCCGGTTTGGGGTGGGGCAGAGGATTAGGGGAAGTGGGAGAGGTAGGATTAGGTGTTGGGCTTGGGAGTTGCTGGTGTGGATCATACGAATCGCCAAAAGTTTCATGACGTTTACTGGTTTCTCCGTACTGACGTTCCAGAGAAAGGGGGACGATGCCAAAACCCGAATTTGAACCTCTTGACAGCGTAGAGCTCGCATAGCTCGGCGCACCACCAGTTGAAACAGCCATGCTCGCCGAAGAACTATGCACAGACGCTGCTCCTGACGCTCCAACCATGCCTCGTACACTCATTTCATGAGCGTGAGCATGGGCGGCGGCAGCAGCAGCCATTGCCGGGTCACCCTGGCCAAAAGATGAATCCGATGGCCGTCTGAGTGCGCGGTAGGTGGGGCCAAACGCATCTGCACGAACAACGAGTCCCGCTTGCACCATTGCTCGGGCCTGCGTTTGGGCGCTTAATATCAACTGTCGGAAGCAATGCGCGACAGATTGAGGGGCCATGATGGTCGTTTCGGTGAAGGGCAATTTCAACAGGTCAGCGAACGATTGGCCCATATCGCGCGTCACTTGGCGCAATCGTTTATCACCCGAGGCCTTTGAGGAGACATTGTCGACCATATTGCCCAGCATCATGATGGGTATATCATTCGGTCGAGCCCACTTTGTTTCTACAATCAGCCGGTAAAAGCCCCACATGGCATCAAACGATTGCCGGCTTCCAACATCGTAGACGAGCATGAATGCGTCGGCAGCCGCTATTGCCGAAGGCCATAACGAGCCGTAGAATGGGTGTCCGCCAACATCACTCAAAGTCAGGACAATCCGTTGACCTCGTCGTTGCTGCCAAAGCTCTTCTTGTGTGAATAAAGTCTCGTGCTCGCTATTCGTGCTGGCCGATGAGGCAGAGCTGTCCACGGGCGATGTCGGGCCCTGCCCAAAGGGCGCTGGAGGCGGAGGAAGGATGTATTGAAACGTGTCGGAAGCTTCAATGGTCGGATCATAATGTCCTTGCCAAGGACCGCGTCCAGCGCGTGATTTGGCAGTGGATGATGCGGAAGTGGACGAGCCTGATGTATTCATCCGTTTGGCGGTAAAGCCTTTGGCCAGCGCCGCCCTCAGACTAGACTTGCCAACATGGGCCGGTCCGATGAGGAGAATGTTGAGATGTGTGATACATTCGTTATCATCGAGCAGAAGCATCCTGTTCCAGTCCTTCAAAGAACCGGTTGGCTCAGACAATCTTCTTTTACGTTTGTACAAACGGGGGATGTGCTTGACGTGAAAATTGGATTTTCGGCCGTACGCGGGATCATGTAGTCTTGTAGTAGTAGTAGTGACGTCTGATCCCGATAATCATTATTAGCTCGTACGTTCTTCCTTGCACCTTTCTTTCCAATGCCAGTTTCCTTTTTTGTTTTACGGTTAGGCAAAAGTGCTTGACTATATAGATCTATTAGCCATGATGGTCTTTAGATGTGTCAAAACTTGACCAGAACTTACTTTGAGAATCCAAATGACCCAAGGATATACCACTCTCTTGGACAATTCTATTCAAACGTTGCCTGTAGTTGTCCCCTATAGAGAATCTATACTCTTTTCTGACGTGATCTCTCTTTTGCGGTGGGAAAATGCACTTGAGACGCTGTTCCAAAGTCTTCTAAACAAGTGGAAAGTCTGCCGGCAAGGGTCCTTAGCGACGATACTGAACGGAACGGCTGTTGCTCGACAGTAGTGTTTAATTTTTTTCCAGCGTCCTATAATGGCGGTTGTTTTCCAGGGGGTGAAGTTTGACGGATATATGTATCGTGCCCTGACAGTTGCAGCTTCTGCGCGCGGGCGGGGTTTTGTCGTGAATCAACAGCGTGGATATATCTACTCGAGTATAAAACTGTCTCGACTCTCGATCGCAGCGCTTCGGTCCCAAAGGTAAAAAGTAAATGCCCGTTCCTTGACTGTTCACCAAAAAGTTGCAGGAGGAGCCCTTGGGAGGAGCCGAAAGTGGTTGCTTGGACGTTGTCTCCGCGGCCCCAAAAACCTTTTGCACCGAAACTACGACGGCGACAGTGGCAATGGCAAAGACGACGACGACGAATAGGAACGACCCAAGAACAAAAGCAACTCTGCAAATAATCGCCGGCATATATTCCGTTCGGATCTTCTTTCCCCTTGCAGAGCTCTCTCCTGGCGCCGCGTCCGCAGCTCCGCCCTTGCAGAAATGAAAAGGGACCGGGATTTCCCATCATATAAGATACTTGGAAAGCCTGTCCAAGGAAACCCTGACTATCTATATGATTCACTCTTACTTGCGGCGGCCGAGCCAATGAGAACTCTTCCTCAGATCATTCACGATCCTCGCTTACCAGTATGTAGGCTTTCTGCTCAGTGGCTCCTCTGTTACTGGGAATACACACCCAGATCGGGGGGACGGATCGCATTGAAACCTCTGATGATGTGCCAGCCCCAAGTCCCTCAGATCTATACCCCTTTACGAAATGATTCATCAAGAAATCGGACACCAGTATATCTCGGATATCATTCAAGTTGTCATCAGGGGGCTCGTTCAGGACGACTGCAGCATGTTTAAGACCAGGAGCACAACGGAGGAGGATCAATCTGGTCCCCGACTCATCTACAATCGCAAAAAAGTACGTCCTCGAGGTTATTGGCGTATTCCAAGTGTAAAATCACCGACCACAAATGGTATAAAAAGCAAGGTACTTGGGAACAGCGAAAATTTGTTGGGTGAAGAGACGCTCCGGTGGCCTAGTGGTTTTAAGGCGTCGTACTTATAAGGATGAACTCTTTATGCCATGCGAAATACGCGGGTTCGATCCCCGCCCGGAGCAGGCTTTTTTTTTGTTTTATTCTACATCCCTGAACCTCCCCCAAGTCGATTGCTGTGGGTCCTGAGGTCGTGGGGTGTGTTTTGAGGTCTGTGGATATGTTTTTGTCAACGGGAACGCGGTCGAAACAAGCGAAAATATTTCAAAAAAGTGTGTAGCACAGTCGTAATGGGGAGGGGAGGAGGATGGATGTGAGCAAGTTCCTTCCTCGGGATATCATACTACAGTAGTTGGCTACGTTGTTAGCTTCACATCGAGGATACCTTGCTATCTACGACTAGTACTATCCATTCGCTGGGGGGTTTGAACTGGGCCGGCCACTGGACTGTCATGACTGCGCACTTCATCGCGTACTGCGCTTTCGGTTTTTCGTAGTGGCTCGCCCAACTTTTACGGCAATTTTGATTTTATTGTTTCTTTAAACCATTTAGCCATTCGTCCTGATGGGCACGGATGATAATTTACTCGAGAGACTACAGGGCTCATTCTCTGGTATTTGATTCTATTGGATTCACACCCAAGTTGCGCTCAGCGTTTGTCATCGCCTGCATTTCGGCTAGGTCCGCGCAAGCAGCGTACGACCTGTGAGTATCTAGATCATTTCTTCTCGATTTCATGTTGGGAATACAAGTTTGGCGAAGGAGTGCTTTTGTCCAGACACACGACAGTCCCATGGCCTATTTCCACTGGGCCAGCGACTGTTGTACTCATTTTAGATACCCTCTGTGCTAAACGCCGGAACACTGCAGCATATTGTCGGGACATTCACTGACCTGGGATGTTTATCATCCAGATGAACCTGTTTTTTCTTTCTCGATCGCTGTCTTGGGGGTGGCCTGGGGGTGGTCTTTTGCGCGTATATATTCGAGTGCTTCATCATCGATTTTTACGACAATAGTGATGTCGGGATGCTAGAGTAAGAAAATGGACTACAAACCCGATGCAATAGATGCGCGGCTCTTGGGTGTTACAATATCATGAGCTGCATTAGCGATATCTGCATCAAGTCGTAGAGTCTGTTCGTATGGGTCTCTGGAGCACTGTGCGACTGTGCCACATGTCATGACCAATCAGCAATCGTTACTGAGGATGTCACCAACGCTGTGGTTGCTATTTTTAGTCTTTTGACACCTTTGATCTGACACCCCACATCAAGCTTTCCTGTCAAATTATAGAATCGAACAAAGAAAAGGTCAAAAAAGAACCGTTCAGCCCCGATCTTGTTACTTTCTCCTCTGTTCCTTCTCGCGCACGCCGACATTTTTGTTCCTACTCGACAGCACCCTTCACACGCAGAATCAACAAACAGGACCGTCCCGCAGACATTATCGGTATGATGATCTTTTATACGTGGGCTTCTATTGAGATCTTGAGTTTCTGACAGTTTGGGGAGCATCGGGTTCCTACTTGCAACACGCCGAGCTCGGTTTTACTTGCGCACACCGATCTCTCTTCTACTCGACAGCACCCGCACGCGCAGAATCAACACGTCCCGCAGACATTATCGGTATGATGATCTGGGTGTTTTGATACATGAGCTTCTATTGATATCTTTATTTCTGACAGTTTGGTGAGCATCGGGTTCCTACTCGCAACACGCCCACGCCGAGCTCGGTTTTACTTGCACACCCTGATCTCTCTCCTACTCGACAGCACCCTCACGCGCAGAACCAACAAGCAGGACCGTTCCGCAGACATTATCGGTATGATGATCTTTTGTGTCTTGATACGTAGTGCTTCTATTGATATCCTCTCACAGTTTAGGGAGCATCGGGTTCCTACCCGCACCCACGCCGACGCCGACCCATCACATCACACTCTTCCTTGATTGTTTGTCCCCTCTCCGACCGTCTAATCATGTTTGGCTCCCACTTGTTTCCAGCGCCTGCGAGTTTTCAAGAGCAGTGCACCAAATTGTTTCTGGACGAATGGCACCGTGATCAGCAGTCTACCGAACTGGCCGACGCAGTGACCCAAACCAGTTCGCTAGGGGAGATTCAAAAGTTGCTGAATAAACGAGCCGACGCGTTTTACGGACTTGCGCCGTTCAGCGATGCTACGGTATTGGCCCTCAAGAAGCAGCCCAATGCAGCGGATCTTGTCAAGCTATGTCAAGACTACCTATCTGCGCCCTTTGCTACGCCCAAGTTGCTTGGAACACCATCTTTTCCGACGATCGATATCGAAGCAGATGCGGATGTCATTGACGTGCAGCTGCCCGACAAGATTTCTTTGAGCTTCTACTGCATGGTTATTGAAATTGACAACAGCGATGGCGGTTTGGAATGTACTCTGGAAGCATATTCTCGGCTGCGTAAGGATGACCAGATCTGGTTACGGGCTGTGTCCGAGCTGTGCAAGGCACCCGAGGTGGCCAAACAACGTACCATCAGCTTCTCATACGTTGGCATCACCGTCCGGCATCCAGGACTGCGCGTCATTGAACATATGCAACCGGACGTAGCCACTTCCAGACACCAAGCGATGTTATTAGCCGCAGCGCAAGACCTAGTTCGAGTGCACACATCGCACATTCTATCCTATGATATTCCCGTCAATCCTGCCACGATAACCCAAGACGACAATCCCGTTAAGCACCTGTTTTTCTATTTGCGACACCCAGATCATGCATGTCTTGTTGACTTTGAACGGTTTCTCAGAGTGCTTCTCCATATACCCGCACTGAATGTGGCCCCGGGTGGCATTGACCACAGCTATCGTTCAAGCCTTGAGACACAACTGGTATTGGACCAAATAGCGCAAAAACTTGCGGATTCGCTAAGTGAGGATACTCGGACTCTCCAGGCCTTGGCATCCCACCAATATGCCGGAGCGACGTGAGCGGGTGGGCAATCTGTACCGAGATGCGGCTACGGACTTGCAGTTAACTCCCCAAGTATGCGAACTTTTAATCACGCAAATGATTAGTGATCTGGTACCCCTTGGGCAAGCAGAGCATGTGATGACGATGCATATGGGCAAAGATCCTACAAGGGAGGCGCACGAGTGGTTGGTCCCATTCTATGATACTTCCCTCGGCGGACTGGGTCCGCGTACCCACGTGCGAAGTATCTTGAACCTGGTCAATGCCATTCAAGCCCTCTTGCCACCTGAAGCGCGCCACCATAAGATGCTGCCGAGTCTCTTCCTCGGGCCCTTTCGCGATTTGTACGAAATTGTTTGCAAACTTTTGGACCCTGCTACTGTCCTTGCCTGGTTGCAGACAGTGTTGCTGGAGGTCATGCCGTGGCATATTGACTGCCTGGGCAGTGATTCTCTAGGTGCCTTTGCATATGGGCTTCTGGAAGTCGACATGACGACGAATTCCGGGCAAGAAGAGCTGGGAGAGAGCCAAGCATCGGTCGGCACCGTCATCGAACACCCGGAAATCAGCAACTCTAGCAAATACGGTCGGAGCCTTGATTCATCCTGGTCGATTAGAAATTTTCATACTTACATTCGCCGGCCGTTTATTGGAAGGTAAGAACACCTACGGGGTTCTTTATCCTCCCTCTTTCTCATCATCCTCATTCTTCCACACACAGGTTTGGACCTCAAAAAGACAACGTGGCACTGATCGTAGCCAGTTACCATCCGGGCGTCTACGCCCATGACCCCCATTGCGCAGCCATCCGGCACGACATCAATAGTCTAGTCATTGCCCAGAATGCCGTTGCCACGACAATTACAAGCCGGCTCGTGCTCGAAAATGACTCTCTTCCACCCTCTGAACAAAAGAGCCGCTATGATCTCCTTACACACCACATTTTGCCTCAAGTGCTGCAAGAATCGGTGCAGGTCCAGGAGCGCCTGGACATACTCAAGGGCCGATTCCAACTTCTGATTGGTGCATTGAGAGCCATGCGCTCTCCCGCCGCCCCACGCAATACTCCCTTTGTTACCCCTTTTACATACATGCAATGCAGAATGGAGGGACGGGCGGCCGTCATTGGCAAACGAACGAGCATCCGTGTCAAACAGGTGGAAGCACTGGTACGCGAGCGCACGCAGCTAGTGGAACGGGGAATGGGGTTCCTCCTCCAGCGATTGCTTCCAACGCCACCCAGCATGGTGGATGATCCAGAGGCATGGCAAAAATTTCTGCTGAATTTGCCTGCAGGAACCAATGCGTTCTATGCCGCAAAATCCTTCGGACGGGTTCGACGAGAAATGGGGTTCGCGGCAAGATCAGCCCATGAGAAAGGCAAGAGCGTCTTGCAAAGCCGTACGCCGCTACAAAGGATCGTTGATATGATTGGGGATATGAATTGGCCGGGGAGGGTCACAAAGGCAAGTGCCTTTACCATAGAAAGCTGCCGAACATGCCACAAAACTTTTGTGAGAGGAAAGGACGTTCAGTCACCAGGCATGGCAGAGCATGAACATGCCGCCGATTTGGTAGCCTCAGGGTATGCCACGTTCCTGCACGATTTTCTGTCCCAGGAAAACGATTACGGTGACGAGCTCGCTGATCGGGTGACATGGGCGGGCATTGATGAGCTGCTCCCGGAATGGATGCTCCAGCATATGGATCTGCCAACTTTTGTGAAAAACCGCTGGCGGATGGCCTTACTGCGCAGCAGCATCCCCGTATTGACTAACGTGTTTGAGAAGTTGAGGATGGAGGTGGCCGTGGAGAAAGGGGAGGAGGGTAATGAAGAAGAGGAGGAGGATGAGGACGAGGAGTGGGTTGAGGAGGGAGAGGAGGGGAAGGAGGAGAAGGAAAAGGAAGAGGACCTCCAATTCCGGGCGCGCGAGTATGCAGTCCAAGTAGCCTTGGATTTTCTCTTTGGACTGCAAGAATCAGCCGAGAATTACTCGGATGCAGAGTTTGCGTCGGTCAAGGGTTTAAGCGCCAACCAGCGAGCCGGCATTGCTCTGAGGTCGGAAAATTCACGCACGCGGACCGTAAAGTTTATGCAGCTAGCAGACCGCAGCACCCCTATGAGATGGGCAGCTTGTAATCTTTGTAGCGCCGAGGCATTTTTACGTCGACCCAATCC